TAGAAACATAAAATGTAAAATCTTTGTACTTAAACTTAATAATAATTTTTTAATATTTAGGTTTATTTTTGTTTTTAAAGTTATATTTTTTGTTATTTACAAGTATAGCTATTAAGGGTGTGGCAACCTAGTGAAGTGGTCAGGTTGTCAACCCTCCAAGTAGTAGGTTGGATGTTCAAATCCTATTGATAGCAAAAATTTGAATAATCACCTATGTAATATTTGTATTACAGCAACTGTTACTAATGATTGGGTTAGGATACCTGTAATGGTGGTCACACCAGCATGACTGGCAGGTCATGGGGCATCTGTGTAAGTATGGCGTTATACAGAGGAATGCAAACCAACAAATTGAGCAGTACAAACACTAAATAAGTCCTTGTAGCTATGTAAATCTGTTGAAATTGGGTAACAAGAAGTCTATTTGGGAAGACCTAAGTAGAGAGGTAGCTGGATTTTTGACGACTCTACTGTAAAGGCTAGCCTAGGAAAATGGATACCAAGGTTGTAGTACCTGGTCATAGTAGCCGGATGGGCAAGAAACTCTGGGTTGGGGTCCTGAGGGTATTACCAACCAGGCCACCAGAACGAACTAAAGGAAAAGGATATCGGGCCAACCCGATATACTGATGGACTGGTCGTAGTTTTACACAGGCTATCTGGATTGGAAGTTTGGTAAAAAGGCTGAACAAAAAGCAGGGATATACTAAAGTACTAGGGTTATGCTATGAAGTAGATGCTGGGGTCTAAGTGAACTCTATAAGGGCATAGTGGTTTAATGGTTAGCCCTGACTGCAAGTGTTGGTTCTGCCATAGCAATACCTAGGTCAGTTATAAAAATGGGTACAGAAGGCTCTGGGGAATTTACCTCGAGGATAAATTAGTCCTAAGGTTGAGGATGATAATCTGGTACATCAGAGATGACCAGTAATATTAATACAAGTTACAGGTTCAGAGGGTTTAAAGTGGAACATCCAAGCAGGAGTGTTAGGTACAGCAATTGGTGGGGAACCTTCAGGTGAACTCCTTAAATAGGTAATATAGAAAAGTTACACATATAGCCAATTGTATACTTTTCTGTAGTGGTTCATTGAATCACAATACCAATAAGTGATTAATAAAAGTCAAAAGATCAAAGAGGTCACTTTAATACCAAAAAAAAAAAAAAGTATAGCTATTTGTTTAACCAAATAAAATTAAATATTTAATAATTTTTAAAAAAATTATATATATTTGTTATTTAGATTTGTTTTTTATAATATAATAAAATCTAATTTGTATAATTTTAAAAGAATTAAAATGTTTTATTATTTTTATTAATTCTTTAATCTTAAAAACTACAATCTTAAATTTAAAATAATTAGTTATATAAATAATAAAATTATATAGAGTTTAAGAAGTATAACAACTCAATAAAGTGAATAAGTTGTCAACTTTTAAATAACAGGTTATAAGTTTAAAACCTACTAATAGTAAAAATTTGAATTTTTATTTATATTATAATAACTGTTTTTTAATAATTAAGTTAAAATACTTGTAATTATAATTGCATTAGTATAACTAGTAGATTATAAAACATTTGTATAACTAGTTATACAGAAAAATACAATCTGATATCAGATAATGCAAACTTAAAATAAGTTTTTGTGACTATATAAATCTTTAAAAACTGAAAAAACAAAAAGTTTATTTAAGAAAACCTAAACAAAGAAATAATATAAATCTTTAACAGTACTATTATAAAAACTAAATTTAAAAAACAAATACTAATATTGAGAACTAAATAAACAAAAACCTTTAGATAAAAGGGTGTGGCGACCTAGTGAAGTGGTCAGGTTGTCAACCCTCCAAGTGGTAGATTGGGTGTTCAAATCCCATTGACGGCGAAAATTTGGATAATCACCTATGTAATATTCATATTACAGCAACTGTTACTAATGATTGGGTTAGAATACCTGTAATAGTAGTCGCACCAGCATGACTGGCAGGTCATGGGGCATCCGTGCAATGTTGGAGTTACACGGAGGAATGCAAACCGACAAATCGGGTGATGCAAATACTAGATAAGTCCTTGTGGCCGTGTAAATCCGTTGAAATTGGGTAACAAGAAGTCCATTTGGAAAGACCCAAGTAGAGAGCTAGCTGGATCTTCGACGGCCCTACTGTAAAAGCTAGCCCGGGGAAACGGATACCCAGGTCTAGTACCTAGTTCTAGTAGCCGGACGGGCAAGAACCTCCGGGTTGGGAGTCTTGAAGGTACCACCAACCAGGCCACCGGAATGAACCAGAGGAAAAGGATATCAGGCCGACCTGATATACCGATGGACTGGTCATAGTCCTATACAGGCTATCTGGATTGGGAGTTTGGTAAAAGGAAAGGAGAAAAGGCAGGGGTATACTAAAGTACTGGAGTTATGCTGTGAAGTAGATGCTGGGGTTTAAGTGAACTCTACAAGGGCATAGCGGTTTAATGGTTAGCCCTGACTGCAAGTGTTGGTTCTGTCATAGCGATACCTAGGTCAGCTGTAAAAATAGGTACAGAAGGCTCTGGAAGGTTTACCTCGAGGATAAAATAGTCCTAAGGTTGCAAACGATGATCTGGTACATCGGAGATGACCAGTAATGTTAACACAGATTACAGGTTCAGAGGGTTTAAAGTGGAATATCCAAGCAGGGGTGTTAGGTACGGCAATTGGTAGAGAACCTTCAGGCGGACTCCTTAAATAGGTAATATAGAAAAGTTACATGTGTAGCTAATTGTATGCTCTCCTGTAGTAGTTCATTGAACCACAATACCGACAAGTGATTAATAAAAGTCAAAAGACCAAAGAGGTCACCTTAACACCAAAAAAAAAAATAACCTTTAGATAAGAGGTATTATCAACTAAGATGTTAAAATAAGATTAAAGAAAAAAATATTAGGCTAACTTAATATATCAAGAAACAGACTACAATTCTATTAAACTATCTAAATTGAAAATCTGAAAATAAATACAAAATATACTAAAATATTAGAAATATGTTGTAAAATAATACTAAGATTTAAATAAATACTGCAAAGATATAACTTTATTAAAATCTATAAAGTAAATAATTAAATTAACAGAAAAGCTTTTTAAGTCTCATTAGCAGATAAAAAACTTTGAAATATAGATATCAGTACAAAAAAAAATAAAATAAAATCTGGATAATCCTCAATAAGAAGCAGTATAAAGTCATTTATCTTAAAATAAAATAGTTAAAGTTATACAAATACTAATTAGGAATAGATTAAAAAATTTAAATAAGGCATCTATAAGCAAAAATTAAATATAAATAACTTTAAGGTAAAATCTTTAAATAGATAATAACTAAAGTTGTATATATAACTAGCTATATTTTTACAAATTATAAATGTATTTAAAAATATTACTAACTAATAAAACTAATTTAACTAAACAATTGATTGCTTATTTATAAAATAATAATAATTATTATTCAAATTTTAAATCTGAAAAATTTGTACTTTGTTATAAAGTTTTATATATATAAAGCTTTCTAACTAGTTCTGATTTCTATTTTGTAAAATTTTTTTATTATTTTTCTTCTTATATAAAATTATAATAAATTTTTTCTTAATATTATTTAAGTAAAATTATAAACTAATATTATTTATAATTAGAATTAAAAAAGTGTTTAAGACTTTGGATTTTTTTTCTTTTATAACAATAATTTTTTAAAAATTGTTAATAATAAGATTTTATTAATATTACTGAATATTTTATTAAATAAAACTTTGAAATTTTTATAAAGTTTTTTGCTATTTTCTTTTTAAATTTCTTAAAAATAATTAAAAAAATTTCTTTTAAACTTGTTAATATCTAACTTTTTTATAAAAATATCTTGTTTAATAGCGAATAGATCTGGATCTGTAACCTGGTGAAATTAATACTAAGGTTAGATCAGAGAATTTAAATGGAACACCTAAGCAGGGGTGTTAGGTATAGCAACTGGTGAAGAACCCTTGGGCAGACTTCTTAAATAGGTAATATAGAAAAGTTACACATGTAACCAGTTGTACACTCATCTAAAAGTTCATTATAGATACATCTATATAAACATATACCCACTATAAGTATTAATAAAAAGCTCAGACCAAAAAGGTCACCTTAATACCGAAAAAAAAATAAAAAAATAAAAATAAAAATAAAAATGTCTTGTTTTTGTAAATTAATACTTTTTTTTTTTTTAATAATTCCTTTTTAATAGCAATAAATTTTTTATATTGTTATTAAAACTTCATTGTTTTTATGTATTAAAAACATTCTTTTTTAATATGCCTACTCTTAATAGCAAAAGTAACAAAATTTTTAATGCTAAATATTATTCTATAAAATATAATTATCATTTAAAATATTTAATAAAAAATTAGTAATAAATTATTTTATATTGTTTGATTAATTTAATTAATTAATGCCATGTGTAGAACCTTCTGATTAACATCTTTATACCATTTTTGGTAATAAAATAAAAGTGATTTTATACGTCATGATCAATAGTGGCTGTGCTACGTATAAATTTTTAATACGTACATCTAACCAATAAGATCGCACGTTATTATGTAAAAAGTATTGAAGTAGGTGTAGGTCCTCCGCAACCAATCACAGTATAGTCACATGGCGGACAGACGGACATTTTTCAACTTTTACATGTACATGTAAGTCCTCGCTACGCTTCGGACAAAAATCGCAAATTAATTTATTTCAATAAATTTTAGGAATAAATATTTGATATTTTCGTTACAAGTACACCATACTACCCGAACCTCCCTTATATATTCCTATGAGATCAGCTCTAGCCGGTAGAGCCAAAGAACCGGTTCAAGTTGACTAACGTAAGCTGTGAGTGAGCCAAGAAAAGTTTGCACCTCCGTTCTAGGATTGTCTTAACATGCCTGGCAGAACGAATAATTTATAAGATACAGGTAATATAAAAATTTTGAATATTTCAAAAATGCTTACGTAGACGCTCTGATAATTGCTCATCTTCATTGATTTCTTTGTCTGCAATTATTGAACTAGGAGTAGCCTCGCCAAGTTGTTGATTTAGCTCAAGGCCATGTTCATCAGCTACTTGTTGCATTAATAAATCAACTTCTTCTTGTGGAGTACTCATTGTTGTTGTGTTCCCCATCGCACCCTCCATATATTGTGTTTGAACGTCAATATCCTCAAATTGTGATTCAAATTTATCCATGACCATTGAAATCTAAATAGTTTGCCGTCAAGTGTTAAACTTTAAGTTACTCAATTTATGATAAATGTTTAATTATAAATTGCAAACAAAAATCGAACATACCTTTTCTAAATTCATAGACTCCATAGCTTTATCCATACCTTTAACAACACTTGCCATTGATCCAGTTACCTGTGTTATGGATCAACCGTTAAATCGTCGATTAGCGATCAAACAATATACACATGTAATTATAATATTTAATGTTTGAATCACCTTTTGCATTGTTACAGCAGTTTGAACTCTACTAGCTACTGCATCGATTCTTGAGGATAATCTCAACAAATTTAATGATTCGTTTTTTTTACGAATTGCATTAGCGGCATATATACGCGAACCCTCCATGTTTCCTTGTTGGATCGCCTGGAATAGCAGTTTGTTAAAAAATAAAAATAAAAAATTTCCATTTCGAGGAATCCAGTATATTTTTTAGCAAAAAGAATAGACGAACCTTTTTAAGTTTTGATTTCTCGGAGGTTTCATCCTTACTAGCCTTTTTTGCTTGACGGGATAATTGTTTCGCAGTTAACTAATTAAGTAAAGTGTTCAGTACATATTTGAACGAAATCATAGCACGATCAAAACTGACTTCTTTTTACTTTTAATTGAAAAAGGCTCTTATCCAAATTGTTCATCTTTGATTATTTCTTTGTATAAAATAGAGGACAAAGGTGTTAACTACTTTGATTACTCCCAAGAAATTGAATTTGTTAAATTCAGGCCAAATTTATATAATTTCAGTCATGATTAGCAACATGCATTTTTACCATAAATTTGGTAAACAGGGTTCGTTTACAACGATAAGCGAAACAGTAAAAATAGTAGAGCTATTATTAGTTACTTTAGTTTTCCAAGATACAAAATTGTAGATATAAACCATGGCATACTGTGATTTTCGCGGGGTAAGTCTAGCTTATTTTTTTATATTGTTGCAGACTTTAGCCCAAAAGTCAATTTTTAACACAATTTATCATTTGAACTAAATCAGAAAGCCATAGAAATCTCGAAAAAAGCTACTGAAGAAGATGCAAAAGAAAACTACGAACAAGCATATAAATTGTATCAGAATGCTTTAGAGTACTTTATGGCTGCAATAAAATGTACGTCGTGGTGGACGTTGTTAAGTGTTTTGGACAGGCTATTACAAAGAATCTATATTTTATTTCGAAAAACGAAACAATCCTTGCATTTTTTTTAACAAGATTCAAAAATATTGTACCCGGTTCCTATATAAAAACAAATTCATCGATAGATGAGAAAAATGAACGTTCTAAACAGACAATACGAAAAAAACTTACCGAATACCTTGAACGCGCAGAGAAATTAAAAGAATATCTAAACAGCAAGGAAGAAAAACTCCAAAAGAACAAAGATAAACCCCAAAAGAAAGGTTCTAAGGCCAATGGAAACAAGAAGTATGTATGATTATAGTTCATTACAATATTACAATAGTAAAAGTGTCATTTACGTTCTTATCATATTCTTATTCGATTTAGAAAAGAATCAAGTGATGACGACGATGACGACGAGCTTGATGCAGATACAAAAAAAATGCGAGAGGCATTATCAAGTATATTGATTCAACTTGACATATTTTTAGAGTTATATGCTTTAAGAATAAATTCTTATAATCAATTTTAAAAATGTTTAGGTGCAATTCTTAGCGAAACACCAAATGTACATTGGGATGATATTGCAGGATTGGATGCTGCAAAAGACGCATTAAAGGAAGCAGTAATTTTGCCTATGAAGTTTCCACAATTGTTTACTGGTAAATATAAACATACTTTAACGATTATTCAATTTTTTTAATACTTATTTTATCGAATATTTATTTATTCAAGGTAATCGAAGGCCATGGTCTGGTATATTATTGTATGGGCCTCCGGGAACGGGAAAATCTTATCTTGCGAAAGCTGTTGCTACTGAATCAAACTCTACTTTCTTTTCCGTTTCATCTTCTGATTTAGTTAGTAAATATATGGGAGAAAGTGAACGGTAATTTACTGATTATCACTATATATTTTCATGAAAAATTTTTTTTTTTTAAATCGTATAATTTTTTTTTTTCAAGCCTGATTAAAAATCTTTTCACAATGGCTCGTAAAAATAAGCCAGCTGTTATTTTCATTGATGAAATTGATTCTTTATGTGGTCAACGTGCGGAAGGAGAAAATGAGCCGAGTAGAAGAATTAAAACCGAATTTTTAGTTCAGATGAACGGTGTGGGACATGATGACACTGGAATTTTAGTGCTTGCGGCAACGAATATTCCATGGGAATTGGATATGGCGATTAGGAGACGATTTGAGAAGAGAATATACATACCGCTTCCAGATTATCACGCAAGAGCAAAATTATTCGAATTAAATGTTGGAAATACGGAATGTAATTTTTATACAGAAGATGAACAAGGCAATCCAGTTCGTTATGACAAAGAAAAAGTGTTTCTAGAATTAAGTAAAAGGACGGAAGGGCATGTATTTTAGCGTAGCCATTTTTGGTTTTTATATTACCAATGCGTACTAAAAATAGGTATATATATTTCAGGTATTCTGGTTCAGATATCTCGATTGTTGTCCGAGATGCTTTGATGTCACCTATACGTAAAGTTCAGGCAGCAACACATTTCAGATGGGTATGTTATCTTTTCATTTAGAAAAGTATTATACTATAGATGTTGCTAAGTATAATTATTTTATTATAAGACCGATGAGAAAAAAGCATATTTAGTTCCATGTTCGCCTGGAGCACCTGGAGCCATAGAAATGACATGGAAAGACGTTAAGTCTGAACAGTTACAGGAACCAGATTTAACTTTAGAAGACTTAAACAAAGCAGCACTTTTCGTAAAACCGACTGTAAACTCTGATGATCTTGGTAAATATGTCAAGTTCACAGAAGATTTTGGTCAAGATGGTTAACACTAGGGTTGTGACCCAACCCTTTTTTGAATCATGACATTAACTACATAGGTTGGGTTTGGAAATTGGGATTTCTACTTCATTTGGGATATTAATCAAAACTATATATAGGTTCATTCTCATTCCATAGTGTCAAATTTAAAAAGCCAATCAAATTTGTTAAATCAATGCTATAAATTATTAAACCTTTATTTTTATTTCAATTAAGAATTTAAGAGGGATTTAGCAACTAAGGTAGGGTATATTAAATAAAGCGATTATTTTAGATTTAATAATTACATTGAATATGTGCAAAGTGAAAAAAAAAA